CCCTGCCACCTTTGTGCAGGTGCCGAACGCGGTTGACATGGCGAAGGCAGCTGCGGCGGCGAGGGCACTCCAGACCAGGGCGGAGATCCTTTCGACAAGCCAGCTGTTGGTGCCCCAAGCCGCTCCGTCGCAGCTGGCAGCGGCCCAAACTGCGCTCGCCGCTGTGCAAGCCCAAGTCAACTCTGACCTAGAGACACAAACCGAAGCCGACATGGAAGCCATGCGAGAGAACATGACACGACTCCAAGACATGCTTCGTCAAATGCAAGAATAGCAGCAAGCGTACGAGGCGGCAAGGCGGTCCAAGGTCACTTCGGCACCAATCCTCCAGTATTCAGCAGGCTATGTCCCACCCCAAGTCTATCCACAAGTGCCAACCTAGCCCCTTCCACCACAAGTCGCGCAGGCACCAATGTACTTCGTCGGGCAGCCGTCGACTATAGCAGCACATCTGGCCCCTCACATGCAACTGCAAGCTCAACCGGTCACAGCCCAAGTACACCCTCAGCCACTTGGCCAAGTGCCGCAAGCAATGGCAGAAGGGGCTTCGGCTCTGCAGGTGCAGTTCCAAGCTTTCCTTCAGCAGATCAACCAACCCCACAACATTTCAAGTACAACCCCATCAGCTCGCTCGGAGGGGAATACAAGTCAAGGTGCGCTCAGTTGGTTGCCGTCGAACCAGCCAAGTCTGGGGGCTTCGTCGTGGAGTCAAGGACCGCAGTTCGACTTCATCAATGCTACTCAGGCGCCAACCGTTCGGCCGCAAGCACCAACACCAGGCTTTGGAACAAGCTAAGCACCAACCCAAGTCGCCATGACATGGTCACAGCCAATTTTCGACCCATCCATGGCGGCTCAGCAAGCATCACCAATCGGAGCCGGGCAGCCGAATGCCATGGCCCAAACTGACGCGCAAGCCGTGATTTCGCCCTTCGCCACGCCGTACCCGCAGCAAGGTGCCGTGAACAGGGCGGGGGGCGAAAAGGGGCTACCGCTGAGTGGGGGAATCAAGACCCGTCCCATCCCACCCCAGTTCAAGTTCCCACCCGTCCCTCGCTACTCAGGCGAAACTGACCCAAAAGAATTCCTCTCCATTTACGAGTCCGCGATCGAAGCGGCTCATGGCGAAGAAAATACCAAGGCAAAGAGCCGAAAACGCAGCAGCACCTGCTTGGTATTCGCCAGAGGCCGGGGGAGTCGATAAGGGAGTACATGCATCACTTCTCGCAGGCCCGATGCCAAGTTCAAGACATAACCGAGGCGTCAGTCATAAACGCCACTTCGGCTCGTAAACCCGGTTCGCCCGGCCAGCCGCTTGTCGCGTTAGCAGCTGGCTATACTCGACGACCGACACGTCGCCGATCATCCTACGGGCTTCGGCGTCAGCCTGGTCGAGGGTCAACACTACAAAAATAAAGGGAGTAGCCACATTGAGCGTCGAACAAAGCAAAATAACATAGCATAGAAGTGCATTGCGAAAGGGCAGTCTTACCGTTCGTCCCTTCAGGGAGAACCAACTTCGGCAAACCATCAACCTCTTCGCCATGCTCAACTGCGATTTGCCACGACTAGGAGAGGGGAAAGATGCGAAGCATGAAGAATTCCTCCACCAAGTCGCGGCAACTAAGGCGGGAGCAGTCCTTACGCAGTAGAGCGAACCGCGCCTCCATAGCGCCATCCACAGCGATCTTGGGCTTTCGGTTCAGCGCAATCACCCTACGCCGGCACTGAAGGGATTTTACGGAGTCAGAACTAGCCTCGAAAGGGATGGTGTGGTAAAACCGCCTCGCCATCCAATGGCGGTCCCACTTCGACATGGCGGCGTTCACTGGCCAGAGATCGGACCGCTCGGGGCGATCATTAAAGTTTACGCTCCCGAACACTGTCTTCTTCGTTCCAGCTGGGGTAATCACCATCTTCGAATTCACGATGGCGAAGAATATGGCACCGAAGAGTTCGGCGCTTGGCTCAAACCCGGAAGTCCGGCACGCCCAGTCGAAGATAGCGATCCGGACCAGCGCCGACGAGCTCAACTGCGGGAGCTCAACCTGGAAAAGGAGAAGAATCTCTGGCAACAACACGTTGCACAGAAACCGGAGCCCCGCCTCAAAAAACACGGCGAACACCACTGTCCGGTTGTCGACGGGTTTCGGTACAACGGCTTTCCCCGGGGCGAAAGCCTGTCCCTCGACTAACGCCCCAGAGCTGACCAACTTTGCTAGCTCACCGTCGTCTATGAGAGAAATCCCTAAATAGGCGGTGGTGTCGTCGTCAATCCGGCCGGGGTCGGGCCTTTTCACCGAAGAGGGGTTAGGCTTGCGGGGAGCCATGACGAAGGATGTATGAAGTGGCGAAGGGTTTGTGCAGTGGCGAACAAGGGGAGTGAGCGAGAAATCTAAAGGGCCAAGGGGTGCTGTGAGAGTAAAAACGGAGGAAGAGAGCGCGAGCGGTGAAAGTGGCAAGTCTTGCGGTGAAAAGGTAACAGGGGAGCATATATAGCCCAACAAGGCGACGTTTCGCCTACTCACCAATAATAAAGCGCCACGTGTCGCGAGGGTAGGCGAAACGGTAAATTCCCATCGACCGAGCTGCACAGTAAGAAGCCCACAAAGGGAAGGCCCATCACTGTTCCTTTCGGCCCGATAAAAAATATATAATAAAAAATATATATCACCGTCCGTAGGGGGCGAAGAGAGGCAAATCAATACCAGCCACACAGTCAATGAACTTTATTTGCAGGAACAATATAGGTTTCGGCAGGAGCATCGGTCGAAAGGGGGCGCCACATACCATACCACATACCACATGGTTTGCACGGTCTCGGCCGAAGCTCCAATCTCACCCTTGCCCGTGAGGGGCTTGTTGGCGGTATGGCATCAGGCCCTTCGACCTAAATCTGCCGAAGGCTATGCGAGGAGTGGGGATCCAAGCCCGAGACGTCAAAGTTAGTCGGGGCGAAGCCACCCCCATGGCGAAGACTATGGAACGAGGACGGCGCGAGAGGCGAAGGATCGTGCGGGTACTCTGCTAAGCCGGAGGCCTCTTGGGCGAAGGATGCAGGGCAAAGAGTACATGCCAAAGGAAGACGACTTCGCCAAAGCAAGCTCGCCCCCGCGAGGGCCGAAGAAGCCTTTTCCGGCCCATCAAGCCTAGAGGCCATTGGGCCGGCGATCGCCTAATAGCCCATCAGGAGTCCATAAACCTCTATTACACTATATACCCATGTAAATGTCCCTTTTATAAGGGTAACCATGTAAATTCCCCTATATAACCAAAACCCTAGTAGTTAGAACCTGTAATAGGGGCTATAAATAGTCCCTATAGGGCCATGTAACGGGGGGATCCCAAGTAAAAAATTCTCAAATTAGTACACTTTACTTTTGTTCCAACCACTGTTGAGTAACCACGTCTTTCGACGTATGTGGTTGTCGTTTCGACAACACTTATGTTCAACCCATTGGGCCTATTGGGCTTGTTTTCTAGTAGGCTTTCTTCAGAGATATCAATATACCATTCTACATTGGAGCCCCGTGGGTCAATTCCTGCCCAAGTCCCCCCCCCCCCCGAAAACATTTGGGGCACTGCTCTAATGGGCCCTCGGGGCAAAAATTCACCCCATCCCTGTCCCCTGTGGGGAATATGCCGCCCCTGTTGCGCATTTGGCAATCATTAGAATTCAGTGCTACTTGATCTTGATACCGTCCTATTGATCTATGATGTGTACATGGTTGTATCTATAGTAGACATGGTCACATCAGCCGACTCGTGTGGTTGGCACCATAGGCAGCTGCCGTGAACATCGTCGACATTGGGGTCAGTGCTTAGGGGTCAAGATGGGTGCTAGTTAATTATGATCGTCATCCTGGTCAAGCATGTGGCGGCGTGCTGACGAGGAGAGGAATAAGAATAGGGAAGGGAGGAGGTGCTGGCAGCTGCAGCTCCCACTCCACTCGGGCTACCAAGCATCACAGCGGTTTTGGGAATAAGAGCACACGTACGCACTTTACCACCAAATACCCTCCGCATGTACGTACCAGCTACTTTTTTTTTTGTTAAATCCCAGGAAAATGTGAGCGCATATGCATGATATGCATGATCTATAGCAAGAACCCTAACTAGCAAAGATGGACTAATTTGGCACTATAGAAGCCCAACAGATCAATAAACATTGTACTGATGCAGAATTAAAAAAATGTTTTCTTGAAAGTTCATAATTTTTGTTGCTTTAAATTTTATTAAATTCTTAATGGTGTTGCAGCTCCGAGTTAGTAAGGTCTATCAAATTGTCCAGTTGAATAGTCAATGCTTATTGCAAATTCGATTTCAGAAAGGTGCATCCAAAAGGAGTAAGTGATAAAATTCTTCTAGAACAATCCTCACCAAATTTTCAAGGAAGTATCCTTTTAATGCACCCCACAAATGAAAGTGGATATGATCCATACATAACAAGCCTGCCTATTTGTTTAAATAAGTTTTTGGTCAAATTAATCTTTCACACGACAAGCTGAGTATTTGGAAAATATTACATCTTACAAAAATTTTGACATGGTGCAAATACATACCTATATATTGCACAATTGGTATTCCGTCGGGATATATATGTTATAAAATGATACTGCCTAATATATTGATACCAAATGGATCATTTGCTAGTATCAATATTCATCCACCTCAAATTCCTCTTGCGGAAAGTAATAACTATAGCACTGTAATATATGTATCTCACTTTTATGTTTATGAATGAAATTTCTCTATTTATCTCAGTGCATGTTTTGGATAAAGCATAAGGTGTGAAACTGGTCCAAGGATTTATGACTTTTATTTATTAATATGGTTGTGTACATTTTTGAAGGACTTTCGGTGCATTTCCTTTTTGGCTATATGCGGCACTGGTTTCAGTTTCTTTCTAAATCAGGCATCCCATGGTTTCAGGGACATCTGGCTCCCCCTATATAAGAAAGCATATCTCACAAGAAACCACATCTCAGATGATACTGAATTCTTTCTTGCTATTTTGAAACATTGCTGCTTTCAGGGGAACAAATTCTCTTCTGTAGGTGTGGTGATCCTCTATCTCTCGTATTGCCCTGGGTTTTGCTTATGATGGAAGGTCATAGCAATGAACTGGGACGGGCCAACACCTTGAAGAAAGGAGGTCTTCGACCAATCCCGGTCATCATCGGTAATGTTTTTGGCTTAAGTACGTTGAGGTAGCATGGAAATGACATTCAAATGGAAAATGTTAACCAGAAAAACTGTTCAATTTTTCAATTTAAAATTGAACAGTTTTGCTGGCAACAAATGTTCACAAATTGCACAACAACAAAAAAGAAATTTCATTGAAAGAATTTTTATTTTCATGTATTCTACAGTTCTAATCATTATGGATCTCCTAACATAAGAATAGAAGCAACCAGGATATAGCATGTTGTTGAATTTGTTTCAATACTAAAATATTTCCCTTCAAGCAATAGAGCTTCATCAGATCTTTCACATATCTATCTATCTATCTATCTATCTATCTATCTATCTATCTATCTATCTATCTATCTACTTCCTCCATAGTTCCATTTTTTATGGTTTATTTTTAATTTAGAAAGTCAAATTTGAAATATTTTGACCGATAATTAGTTAGCATACAAGTATATTCAGTGTATAAAATTTATAGTTCAAAGTACTTCACACAATATTGGTATCAGTAGCTATCAGAATGATGCATATTTTTATAAGAAATTAATGGACAACATTTTGTCCTAAATACTTTCTAAAAGGTATATGAGGGGACATCGAAAAGGCTAACGGGCGATCGATCGCCTTGAGCGATCAGCCCCCCTCCTCCACGTAGTTTTCTTTTTTGGCACCGTATTACTTTCCTATTTTTAGTAAATTTATGCACCTGAAATTTGTACACCTCAAGCTTATATATTCGATTCAAATTTGAATTTGAATTCAAATATTTTTTTAATATAGTATTTATATACATCTAAAGTTTATACACCTAAAGTTTATAGACCCAAAGTTCATAAGTCAAAAGTTTGCATACCTGATTCAAATTTAAATTTAAGTTCAAATATTAGTTTAGAGACCCAAAGTTTATAAGTCAAAAGATTACATTCCCATTTCAAATTTGAATTTGAATTTGAATTCAAATATTTTTTATATATAGTATTTCTATACATCTAAAGTTTATACACCTAAAGTTTATAGACCCAAAGTTTATAAGTCAAAAGTTTACATACCCTATTCAAATTTAAATTTGAATTCAAATATTAGTTTATAGACCCAAAGTTTATAAGTCAAAAGTTTACATACCCATTTCAAAATTGAATTTGAATTCAAATTTTTTTTATATATATAGTATTTCTATACATAATTTTTTCCAGCTTTGTTTTTTTACTTTTTAAAAATTTATGGTGTAGTTGGAAGAGAAGGAGAGGAGGAAGGGGGAGAGGAGCATATAGGGGGGATAGGGGGTGATCGATCCAAGCGATCGATCGCCCATTAGCCACACACAGGGGACATCCCCGTGATTAGAATCCACTCCCTTTAGACCATTAGTTTTATATTTCCAAACAAAACTAGGCCCACCCACCTTTCACACATCCCCTCCCATGTATGCATATGGTTCTCTCCCAGCTCGTCCCATGCATGCACGCACACCCCTTATGTTCTTAGGGCACACTCCTCCCACCCCCACCTAAATGCCTCCATCTCCCGGACTCATATATGCTGCCTTTGTCAGAGAAATGGCAACTTCGAAGCACTCACTGTCCATATGAATTGGAAGTGATTTTTACCTCATCATGACTTGCAAATGAATCTTCTCATTTTCTATTGTGTGCTTATCAATCTATCTCTACAGCCAATATAAGGTGTTTGTTTTTTGGACCAACGATTCCTAATACGAAATCCCAAGCTAGTGCTCAAGCCATTGGCTACTATATAAGTGTAAAATCACAATCTTGCAGATCATCTTGCAGTGGTTACATAGTATTGTTCATGTTTGTTGTGACTTGCATCAGCCGGTTCTTGGTTTAGCTCATAGTTCTTTGTATGTTTTATCGATGTGAATAAGCATACAAACATATTTGATTCAAGGGACAAGCGAATCTACTGGGCCGATTCCTGGCAAATCAATGAGGCTAAATCCTAATATTTATTTATTTATCTTGACAGTATATTTTTTAGATGTGCCCCATAATTGTTCCTAGCTAAGAACTTGTCTATCATGTAGATCTCTCAAGTATGTCAAAACCTTTTTTATTATTCTGAGTTTTGTGCTTTCAAGTAGTATGGTTGGAATTTGACTATTTTCTGAGAAAATATTTGAATCGTATATAGAAACTCACCTTTTTTTCAATTTTATTTCAGCAAATGAAGTATCTGAACGAATTGTGAGCGCATCAGTTACTGCAAACCTTATTATCTACCTTACAACAAAGTATCACCTCGGTGCTGCAAGTAGTGCAATCATCATCTTTGTGTATCAAGCAGCTGCAAATTTTTTGCCTGTGTGTGGTGCAATTGTGTCTGATGCACTATTGGGTCGTTACCTGATGGTTACATTAACATTGTTCTCCTGCACAACTGTAAGAATACTACACAATTTTATTCAATAATGTTCATGCTATCATACAGAGGAATCACATTGCTTAGCTTTTTTTTGGTGATTAATGCAGGGGACTTTTATGCTATTCCTAACATCACTAATTCCAAAATTAACACCCCCAGATTGTGGTCTTTCAAATCAAGGTTGTACTTCGCCATCTCCACTACAACTGTTTGTTCTGTGTGCCTCTCTTGGTTTCATGTCGCTCGGAGCGAGTGGTGTTCGCCCCTGCTGTCTTGCCTTTGCTGAGGATCAAATTGCTCATTGGGACGAAGCCCAAAAGGACCGTGCACTCCGTGGTTTGTTCAGCTGGTACTATGTATCGGTCGGCTTCGCGCAGATAGTGGCTGTTACCATCCTCGTCTACTTTCAAGATCAGGTGGGTTGGAAGGTTGGGTTTGGGATTTCAGCCGCCGTTATGCTATCCATCACACTTGTGAACTTGGCAGCATCACCCTTCTATGTGAAGATGAAGCCACAGAGGAGTATATGGATCAGCTTACTGCAAGTGGTTGTTGTGTCTCTTAAGAACCACCACCTGGTACTTCCGAAGACATATCAGAGTGCTCAGTTCCATAATGCCTCGGGATTAAGAGAGCTAGTTCCATCTGAAAAAATGAGGTAATTTATTGCTAGTTACTACCATTTGCATATCATACACACTAGAAAACCATTTTCAAGTCATGTTTGTCTATCTGCCAACTTATTTTCCTCTCTGCTAAATCAATTTATTTATCCAGATTCTTGAACAAAGCATGCATTCTGAGATACCATGCAACCAATGTGAGCGATGGAGCAGGCAGAACTAACTCATGGAACATCTGTACCGTGGAGCAAGTGGAGAACCTCAAATCTGCACTCAGCGTGATACCGATGTGGTCAGCAATGATAATGACCTTCCTGATACAAAGCTCATCCTTCGGGGTACTACAAGCAGCCACCATGGACCGGCGAGTTGGCACAAAAAAGTTCCAACTACCGGCGGGCTCTATCTCAATCTTTGAGATCATAACCTTCACGATATGGTCAGGCTGCTATGACCGGTACATTGTGCCATTTCTTAGAAGAATCACAGGTAGGCAGCAGGTGCTAACCCTTAAGCAACGGATGGGCATTGGTGTGTCCTTGTCCATTGCATCCATGCTTGTGGCATCAGCAGTGGAGACATACAGAAGGAAGGTTGCGGTTAAGGGAGGGTTGCAGCACGATGCTAAGGGAACATTGGAAATGTCTGTGCTGTGGCTGGCACCTCAGTATGTCATAATAGGCCTTGCAGGCGCATTTAGCTCCATTGGGCAGATCGAATTCTATTATGCGGTGCTTCCCAAGTCCATGGGGAGCTTTGTGCTAGCATTGCTCTTCTTCGGTGCTGGTGTCGCAAGCATCATTGCAACATTAGTGATCAAGGCCATCAACCTGATCACCGGTAGAAATGGCATGGCACCATGGCTGTCCAATAACCTAAATGAGGGTCACTATAACTATTACTACTTCCTTCTTGCTGTCCTTGGTGCCATTGACCTGATCTATTTCATAGTTTGCTCTTATGTTTTCGACGAAAGGACACAAAACATGTCCCTGGAAACTAGTGGTGATGCAAAAGACATGGTAGAGTTTCAAGGCTAGCTCAAGCAATGGTAGTGCAAATTAGTGCAAAATATAAGATGTGGCTTAGTTGTTCTTGGTATGTTTTATGTAAATGCTTGAACCTTTGTATTTCATCAATGTTATATGCTATATAATTCGGAGCCCTCTAAGCTTTGCTCTATTGTAACTATGGTTAATTAAAGTTTCAACAATGACTCGGTTCTAGTGATGCATATGCAGAACAAGATAGCATGTAGAATACAAATAACAAAATATCCTCAAAATGCATGTTCAGTGTTGAACATATAAATGAACTGAAGTATTAATTTATATGTGATAATACTACATATGTTTCTGGAATAGAGCTGAACAGTACTAGTATAGAACAAACAGCCAGTACAAAATGGCTTCACTACTAGTTATTGAACTTGCACATATCATGCGATGAATCAGTAGTGGTACTCATATTTTGGAAACAAAAACAAAACTACAATAACAATATTACCGTCGCCGCCACTGTAACACTGCATGCTGTCCTTCTAGGTCATCACCGTGCTATCGTGCTCTCCTCCCATGGTCATTGCTATTGTACCGCTATGGCTGCTGCCACATTTAGTAAAGAGGACTACTGCAGCCCGGGATTACATCAAAATGGTGCAGCACGACTGCATCTCGCAACTTCCTCTCACACTAAGTACGTGCGCGAGTCGCGAGTATCTTATCTCTCCTCGATTGCACCGGCCGCTTCCCTCGTGGTATCATATGACACAGCGACAGAACAAGCAGTTAGTCTGGCTACTTCGAGCATCAAGTTGCCCGATCTGAACATGAGGTGCACCGCCACATCATGCAGATCATTGAGGACATGGTGCACGACAAGTCTAGTTGAGTCCCTATCTCCGCTATGTCGCCATCGTGAACAACCACTTGTTGTCACGTCCTAAAACGACCCTAAAAATATATCCTTAAAATTATGCCTAGAATAATTAAAATCCAAGTGAAAGCCTCCAAAATTAAAATGTGCAAAGTTAAAAGTCAAATAAGGCTTGGAGGATTTTTTTATATTTCCTAAAAGCCTAAAATGTGTAAATAAATTTTAGTGAAATTTTCAGAGCACAAATAATAATTATCAAGAAATAAACAAAGTTGAAAAGGTTTTATAAAAAGAAAAAACCCTAAAACCATCCTTCCCTCTCTCTGGGACGAATCCGGCCCATCTCCCTCCTCCTCTCTCTTCCCCCGTGGCCCACTCGGGCCTCCCCCACGCGTGCGCCGCCGACGGGCGGGCCCGCCCACCACACTCGCTGACGGGTGGGGCCCACCCGTCATCCCCCTCCTCCCGCCGCTCCCTCCGCCCACGCCTAGCGCCGCCGCCGCCAAATCCGCCGTGCCCAGCCGCTCCCGTTCAAAATTGAATGGGGGAATTATTCCCCCTATTCCCTCTCCCTTTCCCCCCAATTTTCCCTCTCTCTCTCTCCCTCGGATTCGCTTGGAAGCCCTCCCCTAATCCCGCCGGCGCCATTAATGGCAGCCGGGTCTCCCGCGCCGGTTTCCTTCCCCTTCGGCCGCCCTCTCTCGCTCCTAACCCTATATAAACCCTCCCCGAGCTCCGTACCACCGTTTCCGCCACTCGCCGTGTGGACACCCCGAGTATTATACCATCCAGTGTCCAACGCGACCACCACATACTATTGGATAAGTGGGATCCATACATGCATAAATAGCCACTCATCCTTAATGTGTCCATGATCGCGGTTGACAACCTTCTGTTATAATAACCGGAATGCCGAGTAGTGAACACAAGAGATAATCATAAGATAGCTTGCCAGTCTACTCCGTCATATGCCCGTCAACCATTCGAAGGTGGCGACCAAAAGCATACCCCAGTGACTCGATCCAAAGCACTATCCCGGATTATCTCAAGCGATCAAAACCCGTTACTCATGATTAGCTAGTCCCCAGGAATGCGACTAGCCTCACACTTTCATCGCAAGCAATTAATAAACATAGCATGTACCATGATAGGGTTAAAGTGCAGCAAGGTACATGACACATAATAGGGTCCGAGGTCCCAACATTCAACACATAAATATAGCAGTGGAAGTCTCAATTAGAGTTCATAAGCAAAAGATAAAACCGGTGGTGCCTCAACCCCACTAGGGCAAACCAACCGGGCAAGAGCCAAGCTGCAAGAGATTACTCATTGCCCTCGCCGCCCTCGGCAGAGCAATGACCACACAAGAAACATAACTCATAACCGGAATCCTCTCCTGAAATTGCAGACACCGGTTTAAGTACAAGATTGTACTCGCAAGTCTTACCCAAAATTATATATATATAAGGGAGAGAGAAGTATGCAAGCTTTCTAGCCTATAGTGGGTCTCTAGGTTCAACATTTGCATAAAGCTAATTTTATTGAGCAATTAATGAGTAAAATAAGCAAGGACAAGTAAATCTAGCATCATTTTAATTTATGGACAGCAAGTATATAATTCTGAAATGTATAAGCAAATGAGCCCAAAACGGCGCTCTCATCATCAACCATGGACTACCAAAGTCCATGCCAACATGGCACAACATGCCAACACCACCATCAAACATAATCCCATCCATAATAATCCACATTTGATGCTAACATAACTGACTAACACATCAAGCATTATCCATAACCGAGGACGCGACTATTTGAATAGATTATACTCTGATCAGAGGTGTACAACTGGACCCACACGAAATGAACAAAGATCAAATGCTACACACCCCATCGAGTGCGGTACACAAGTGATTCAAGCTCATTACATGCCCTTTCTTAGCCCCACCCCAACCACCTATACCACGCTGGGGTTCCCGACGACTCAAGTCACGTGCATGCGTGATGTGACCAAGGCGGGCGCGCCACGTGGGAGACACCCCAGGCCAACATAGGCACCCGAGGCCCTCCAAAGGTCTACATGCCCTCACGTCTCTCCAACGTGGTATAAATGATCATAGTAGAACTAGTAAAGGACAAGCCGGTCCCAAATAAGGCATGTGGTAAGTACGAAGGGTGCTTGAATAAATGTCAAAATGTTCGGTCCTTAACGACCTAGACGGGGCTACTTGCATCAGGGGAAACCCACCTCCCATCATCGCCCTATCACCCGTCCAAGTCCAACATATTTCATCAACCATTATTTAGTGTAAGTGCTCAAGTTTTATACCCCATAATGCAAGTTGTCTATATACCACAATTAATAGCACTGTCCATCCCTATAGTTCTATTAGCACTAAGCATGGCTAAGTATTAATGAATAAGACATCCCAAGTAATCCCAACCAGTGGTCATAGGGTATAAGAAGAGCAATATCACAAGAACTAAATGCATAAATAGGTTCTACCCATACACCATAAACCAACAATATTAATATCTAGGCAATGCATGCATATATATATATATATATATATATATATATATATATATATATATATATATATATATATATATATATATATATACACACACGTATAGATTGCAACCAAATTATTTATTTTGAAAAAGCATAGGTTCTATATGCTTAGGTGCTTGCCTTGCTGCTGAGGGTAGTCACTATCCTCCTCTGGATATGGCTCGTTACTCTCTGGATTCTCCGAATCTACCGATAATAGGCAAATATGCAAATAAGATTCAAATAAACATGCATATGCAACATGCTCTATAAATCATGGCCTAATTACAGTAGGTAGAGAGTATGATAAACTGGTTTTAGAAAACAAGAATCATCTCATTTACATTTGTGGTTTGATAGATATAAAAATAACAAGCCATATACACTGAAAATGGCATTTCTGTAATTACATATGAACTACCCTAGGTCATATGAAATGCTGACATTTTCTAGTTAGATTTCACAAGTGCTATCATTTTTAATTCAAAGATCATAACCCACTGGTTCTAACAAAACTTGGCTCCCTACATTTGGAGTTAAAATATTTAGGTATGAATTTTACAACTTTAATAAAAAGAGGATTACTTAATCGTTTTAGACCTACTTTAGGAGGTAGTTTTGTCAAAATCTTTTCCACAGAAGTGAAGAGTACCATTTTACAAGTTCAACAAAATTAGTTTATATGTTTATCATATTCCAATATTTACTTATGCATTGTCCAAGATCTAGACTACTAAAATGATACCTAGATCCATTCACAATTTTAGAGGAAAACCAGTACAGAAGTTAGCCATTTTCATTTTACAACATTGTAGATCACGTTTCTATTAATCCATAGAAATGGTTCAGCTCAAACGGAGTTCAGATGAATTTTCTACACATTTTTGAAGTTAGTACAATTTCAGCACATGTTGAAAACAGTTTTCCATTAAGAACTTCCTGGATATTACAGAGCGGTCAAGGCTAGAGTGTTATGTGTCTTGGTCTGTTTTTTTTTTTGGGAAAGAACCCTCAAGTCTAGCTAATTCACCGATGAGGTCCCTGGCTCGAGCTCACGGGGCGGCAGCCATTGGCTGGGCTCAGTCTAGAGCCTGCCGGCGGCGAACGGAGGCTCGGATGGGGTCGAGTTCAACAGAGAGAAACTGTAGAGGAGGTCCATGCGATCACGTAGGTGTCCGCGCTGATGAAAGAGGTGGTCTGTAGCTCGCGAAAAACAAGCTACAGCGGCGGTGGTTCTTGGTATGCGCATGCATGTCGAGCTACAGCTCGGAATGGGCTATATGGGTGCATGCATGGGGTGTTCAGGGGTATGCAGTGTCTCACCGTGCAGCTGAAAGGGGTCGGAGAGGTCCAGGAAGCAGCGACGGCGTTGGAGATGCCCGGCAACACAACGAACACGATGACGACCCGAGAACGACTAGATCTGGCCATAAAAATCCCAAATAAACGTTTGAATGAGCTAGAACATTGCCTGCAGAGTCTTTTGGCCAATGTAAAGGATAAACATGCTTCAAAGTAACCAACCGAAACTCCTTCATCAATCTTTGGCACTTCTCATTATAAACCGTTAATGTATCATTCTTACATTTATATTCTCCTGCCAATTGACTGATCACCAGCAAAGAATCCCCCATGATTTCAATAGCATCGGCTTCAACTTCCTTGAGTAATTGTAACCCTTTGTGCATTGCCTCACACTCAGCTTGGTTATTAGTCGCATAAGGTTTAATAGTATAAGCAAACTCAAAACATGCCCCCCTATGGGAAATTAGAACTAAGCCGATACCACAACCATCAGTACACACCGATCCATCAAAGAATAAAGTCCATGGCACAATCTCAACCAAGCCGATTGAATCATCACGATGTTCCACAATAAAATTGGCTATAGCATGTCCCTTAATTGCCTTCGGCGACTCATACCGAAGATCAAACTCAGTTAAAGAGAATATCCACTTTCTAACCCTTCCTTTCAAAATTGGAGCCGATAACATGTATTTGACAACATCAGCCTTGCATATGACAGTACACTCGTTGGATAGTAGATAATGCCTCAACCTTGTACACGAAAAATACAGACACAGGCATAACTTCTCCATAGGGAAATATTTAGTTTCAGCATCCAAGAGCCGACGACTGGGATAAAATACAACTCGTTCTTTTCCATCCAACTCCTGAATCAAAACTGAGCCGATTGACTTCTCACCGGCCAATAGATATAATCTAAAAGGAATTCCTTTCTGTGGAGGGATCAAAACAGGAGGAGAGCTAAGATATCACTACAAGAAATCTTATGATAGATGACGCTTCATTTACGTCACAAACACATAAAATTTCGTCACATTTCGTAATCTGTGACGCTCGCGTGACGAAAATTTATTCGTCACCTATCATGCGTCTCTAATGGCATTCTATGACGAAACCTTATTTTTTTCGTCATTAATCTAGTGACGATCCTTCTGTCGTCATAACTTTGTGACGCTCATATTCATCATTATCTAGCCTAAAAAACGTCACACACTAAGCCTAGATGACTATGAAGTTGCCATGTAGGACAACAAACGTCATAAAATCGTAGTACATTGCCACGTGGAGTTGACATGGCATGTTAATTGTGACAACCTGAATCGTCATGAAATTTCTTATGGGCTGTTAAGGTCCATGAATGGAGCAATCTGTTTATGGGCTAAGCATATAAACTCATTTCAGCCCATTACAAAAGCCCATATAAGCTCAAGATATAACAACCCATATATCATAATACATAAAGGCCCAATTATCATTCAATATAGCACAAGTCCATTTATCATCCCAAACACATACAGGTAAAGCCCAATCACATACAATCAAAGCCCATTCACATGTATCCTCACATCAGTACATACCATAGCAAAATAAATCCAGCTACAATTGCAAACTAGGTTCAATTCCACCAGATCCTAGATATCAAAATAAGGTCCTAGCCTCCTAGGTTAACTTAACAAATGCAGCCACAAGAGCAAACTAGATTCACTAAGTCCACACTAGGTCCACCCACAAATAACTCAGCAAAAAAAAAAAAATCAATGTCCAACTCAGCCAACCATACTCTGCAACAACCTCAATGTAGTCCTCCTAGGCATCTGTGAGACAACAAAATTTAGTGTAAGATGATTTGAGCAGATGGGGTGCTCTGCAAATCCAAAAGGACACACAAAACAGGATCAAAACTGAAGGATCATAGGTAGAGCTACCTTATATTGTCTCCAAGATTCCAAAGAGTAGTCCATCAATATACTCCTATGTATTAGCTAGCTGAATGCAGTAGGGCACATGATTAAATTAAAGTAAATAAATATGACATGTCGATCAAAAAAAAACCATCAGCATAACCATGAAGCTGAGGTAAAATCTGAAAAGTAAATTACGAGAGGACTCATTTTAATACATAACTAGCAAGTACCCGTGGCTTTGCCGCACGGAACGGTACTGCCATTTGGACCTATTGAGTATCGAGCTGATGTGATTTGCAATTTTGCATATTGATCGAGATCGGAATAAATGCAAGTGCATTAGATCAACTATCACATTCAGCACTTATAAATTGAAATATGTCGTATACCCAAATATGTCCCAGGAATAATAATACTACTAATCTACCCAAATGTCTTAGGAATAATACTACTAATCTACCCAAATGTCTCAGGAAAAATACTACTAATCTGTTGTTCACACATAAGTGAAGAATCAGAGAACTTCACTGAACTTGGAATTGTCAATTTATGAATATTCAGATTTTGGTCGAGACAACCCTATTTCAACTTGTCAGTATCTTGAAACCATGGTGCTCCATGATGGTATGGACCAATTGACAAATAGAAATGTTAAAGTGAAAATTTATCAATTTAACGAATATTGCTGCTCATATTTGGAAATAGGACAGTAGTTCATACCTTCAGAGCTTTTGATAGAGCTCCATCTGAATGACACAGACATACTTATGGATCTAGTTACTGGACCAGTGTTTTTTTGTCCATACACATATAATGGAACTATTTTATATATACACCGAAAGAAGTACTCTTGAACAGATATATGAAGTGAACTGTTGCTTTTCTCCATGCACATTAATGGAGCTGTTATACCCTTTGCTTGAACAAAAAATGTTCAGTGTTTTCTTCATCATTTTGCTGCAATAATAAGAGCTGGAAGTTAAATAAAGGTTATTGATATACAAACATTTAAATGAACATTATGTGTTAATTGTAAAGCATTGAAAGCAAGAGCTCACATAGTTAAGACACCTACCATTTTTACATAGTAAATATTCATAGAAACAAAGATAGAAACTGGGAGGTTATGCAAAATCAAGGCATATTAGCACATCATTTATAGCATAATGTTTATACATATAAAATTGGACAACTCCTGGACTCCATACATGCATATTACAGTAGTACACAAAATCTTATGTCAAGCTGACAGATTTTGGTATTATGCCTTGCCGCTGTAACTTCCAACAAATTATTTAGAACAAAGCTAAGATTTTGTATCTAAGATATATTACTCTGCAATCAAATTTCGACTTTACATGAACATCATAACTTCTTTCTAAAACAGGATTAAGGTAAATAGAAGCGTCTTTTTGGGATTTAGTCTACACACTGACATAATTGTAATCTTGTTGTAGTATGTATATGTACCTAGATCTATCAAGGGAATCACTACTTACCAAGGAACCTATTATCCAGTAATATCTTTGATTTGTCTATTTTAAATAAATAAATAAATTAGTTATATGAATAGGTAATAATAAGTTCTAGCTCAAGAGTTCTGCAATATTACATAGCACATCATAGTTTTAGACTCATTCATACTTATATTAAAATACTTAGATCTGTAAAATAGACATCAGTAGATTGCTAAGACTACAAGCTTCAGTTGGTTTGAAATGCAAAGATTTAAGAGCTACAGAGCAAAGGGGTTTCGAAATTATACAAGTTCGACAGCTAAAACTTGGCACTAATCACTAATCAGCAGAGCAAAAGCAGCATAATTCTCCATATCATACCACAATATGTTTACCTAAATAAGCATGTCATACTCCATAATCCGGCAATTAGCTACCTATCAGAACGGCAGACTGAACTACAGCTAGGCAGCTAGCTAAGTACAGCTAAACTACAACTAAGATCGATATACTTGTACCTTAGAAGGATTCATTCTTATTATCGTTCTTGGAATGCTTTGCTCTGTCAATGCGAATTTCTTCTTCTTGTCACTACGCCAGATCCTCACACCTTTGACGGCATATCTGTGACGGGCATAAGTGTTGGTCAGTGATGAGGGTCACCTTTCATGGGTCCTACGGGATACCGTCATCAGTGAGCCATCCGGTTGCGGGCCGTCACAGGCATCTAGTCACCTGTGACGGATCGAGAATGGAACCCGTCAGAGGTGTCCCTTTGACGGGTTCCATTCTCGGCCCGTCACAGGTGACTAGATACCAGTGACGGGTGTTAAGTCTGCAACCCGTCAAAGATGAGATAGCTCAACGAGTTATCACCTTGCACCCGTCATAGATGACTTAAAAAAAGCTTCAAAATCCCCCCATCCCCGTACCCACCACCCCAGCACCACTCATCTTCTTCCCTCTCATCTTCCTCCTCTCATCTCCCTCACCAGCCGCCTCCTCCCCTAGTTCCCGGTTGCCGCCTCCACCCCACCACCCGTCGCCGCCTTCATCCTTAACAGCCGGCGTCCGCGGCCACCTCCTCCGCCTCCCGACGGTGTCCGCGGCAACCTCCGCCTCCCGACTGCCGACCACCGACTACCGGATCTGGCGTACGGGACGCGGATCCAGCCACAAGGCCTTTCCCCGACCCCCGGCCTCTCCCCCACCGCCGACAGCCTTCTCCTCTGCCACCGGATCAGCTGGCGCCGGATCCACGTCCACGACACCGCAGCCACCTGACTGCCGGCTGCCAGATCTGTCCGCCAGGAAGCCGGATCCGGCTGCCGACGCCTGCCCCCGCCTCCCAGTTACCAACACCACCGACGCCTCCCTCACCTCCGCCACCGACCGTCGTCCCTCAGCTGCTAGACATCGGATCCGGCCTCCACGAAGCCGGGGACGCACAGATCTAACCGCCAGGTACCGCCTCCTACATCCCCACCCACCGGCCACCTCGGTGAGGTTTCTTCTCCTTGTTTTTTTTTTTACTTAAATCTTCTTCTTCTTGTTGTTGTTGTTGATTTGAGGTGTTTGGTTTGCTCTAATGGTGGTTTCTTGATTCTTGATTTCTGTTTGGTGGTGGAGCAGCAGAGGAGTGCCTCTTCGAGGTCCTCCACCGCCTCCCCAGCGGCCGCGAGCGTGGCGCTTCCGCCTGCGTCTGCAGCATCCGAGCTTCTGCTCAACCAGGCCACCGCGACGCGGACCTCGGCGTCCCTACCCGACCTCGCCCAGGAGTTCGTCATGGATGAGGACGATGATAAACTCTAGGTGTCAGCCAGTGTGCCCCTTCTATGAATGATATGATATTGTTGTATGATGATTGATAAATTCTTTGGCATCCCCTTTTGTGAATGATTGCTATGTGTGATATATCAGTTTGAAGTTTTTGTGATGGTGATGAATGCGCATGTGATGAGCAAAGCAGCGGTGACAGCGAGCACCACCATGGCAGCTTGCGCTAATTTTCTTGCTAGGGTTTTCACACCTGTGACGGGTTGTAATCTAAACATCACTGACGGCTCAAAAACAAATGGGCCGTTTGAGATAATAGTTACCTGTGACGGGTTCTATACGGGCTGGTCACCACTGACGGGCCTTCACCCGTCAAAGGTGAGGAGAGTCATCACTGACCATTAATCTCTGACGAGGGGCTGAATCCGTCAGAGGTGACGGTTTAGGCCCGTCACAGCTAGCCTGAACCGGCATAGTGTGTAGACTTCCAAATTCCAACAGATACTCCTAATATCCAGATCCGCTGTATGTTTTAAGCATGTTTAGTGCCATAGTAGTTCCAGCCAACCTCCTTGGAGAGCTGGCCGAGGAGGCAGTACTTGTGCCCAGGCTGCAGCCTCAGAACCCTACAGTACGGCACCAAACAAACACCATTAGACCAATCACCCGCGCACAATTACAATAATCACAAAAAAGATCCAAAAAAAAACAAGCAAATCCGAAGTACTTGAGCGCGTCGGGGATGACCATGCGCTTGGTCCTGTCGTACGGCGGCGGCACGCCCTCGTACGCCTTCAGCCTTGCCAGCGCCGCCTCTCCCCTGGTGTAGGCAAGGTGGCCAAGCATGTGGTGGCGCGCGTCAGATTTGAGAGAGGGAGAGGGGGTGGTGGCGGCGGGGGAATGTGGAGGGAGGAGCTAGGGAGAGAGAGCTAGGACTAGGCGGCGGCGCGGCGACGGCTGCAGACTCCCACAGCCGCGCGACGACACCTCCCGGCGGCGCGAGAATGGCTACAGGCGGCGCTCCCGACTCCCGGCCGCGTGACGACACCTCCCGGCGGCTCCCGGCAGGGCTCCCGAGTCCCGGCCGCGCATCGACGGAGGGGGTGGGACGAAGGAGGAGGCGGCGGTGCGCTGCGCGCCTGGTGGCTGGGCAGGCTACCGGAGTGGCTGGTGCGGCCTCCTCGCGTGCAGCCCGGAGGAGAGGCTGCCGCTGGAATGGCTGGATCTATGGATAGGATTGGGAGTTTGACCTTGACTTAGGGTTAGCTTTTATATATACCCGTTAATTGGGCTTCACTATAATGGGCCAAAACGTATAAAAAGTCCAGAATTAGTCCTCTATACACGAATGGTCAAACATTGGTAAAATAACTACCGATGTTTCAAATGCAAAAATCATAAATAACAAAATTGTAGAACTCATCGATATCTACAACTATTGTATTGGTTCTTTTTACAAATAAGTTCATTTGAATAATTCAACTTTGGAATTTTCAAAATTTAAAAACTTCGAACAGAAATTGGGGTTAATAAATAATTTCAAATAGAAAAGTCACCAAAACCAAAGTTGTACAACTCATTGAGATGCAAATTTTTTATTTTGATCATTTCTCCATCTATTTGAACAATTTGAAACTTTAAATTCAAAGTTTGAGAACTTCAAATAGATTTTGTATTAGTGAACGATTTCAACTGAAAAAGTTATCAACAACAAAGTGGTATAACTCATCAAGATCTATAACTTTTATTTGGGTCATTTTTTCATCCAACAAAGTGATTTGTAACATTATTCACAAAATGTACATATCTCTTATATAGTTTATAAACTATAAGAGAGATATATAAACTTTATAAATAATGTTACTATTACTTTGTCGGATGAAGAAATGACCAAAATAAAAGTTATAGATATTGATGAGTTATACAACTTTATTGTTGATGACTTTTTAGTTGAAATCATTTAGTATTTGAAAATATTGTTTGAAGTTGTCATAATTTGAAATTCAAATTCAAATTACTGAAAAAAAAGTCATATAGCAAAATGACCAAAACAAAATTTATAGATATTGATGAGTTATACAACTTTATTGTTGATGACATTTTCAGTTGAAATCATATTATTATTTAAAAATGTTGTTTGAAGTTGTGATAATGTGAAATTTAAATTTTATATAGGTCAATCAAACTCATATGGAGAAATAACCAGAATAAAACAGGTAGATGTCAATAAGTTGTATAACTTTGTTTTTGACAACTTTTTCACATAAGTTCATTTAGTATGATAAAATTCAATTCGAAGTTTTAATATTTTGAAATTAATTGAAAGGAGGGAGGCAAAATGGACTTCTCGAAGAGGGAGGAGCAAAAGGGCTAGCCGATAATAGCCGATAACAGGCCTTGTTCATTCTATCTCTGTTTAAACTTTTTTTCTTTTTATTTTATTGTACCATTGTGAAGTAACACACAAAAATTCATACTAAATGAACTTATATGAAAACGTTGTCAAAAAAAAAGTTGTATAACTTATTGGGATCTACCAATTTTATTTTGGTTATTTCTCCATCTGAGTTTGATTGACCTATATAATATTTGAATTTCAAATTATGACAACTTCAAACAATATTTTCAAATACTAAATGATTTCAACTGAAAAAGTCATCAACAATAAAGTTGTATAACTCATCAATATCTACAACTTTTGTTTTCGTCATTTTGCTATGCGACTTTTGTTTCAGTAATTTGAGTTTGAATTTAAAATTATGATAACTTCAAATTATATTTTCAAACACTAAATGATTTCAATTGAAAATGTCATGAACATCAAAGTTGTATAACTCATCAATATATATAACTTTTATTTTTTTCATTTCTTCATCTGATAAAGTGATTTGTAACATTGTTCACAAAATGTATATATCTCTGATATATAGTTTGTAAACTATCAGAGATATATGTAAATTTTGTGAACAATGTTACTATCGCTTTATCGGATGAACAAATGACTAAAATAAAAGTTATAGATATTGATGAGTCATACAACTTTCATGTTGATGAATTTTTCAGTTGAAATCATTTAGTACTTGTAAATGTTGTTTGAAGTTGTCATAATTTGAAATTCAAATTCAAACTGTTCAACACAAAGTCACATAGAAAAATGATCAAAATAAAAATTGTAGATCTTGATAAGTTATACAACTTTGTTGTTGATAATTTTTCATTTGAAATCATTTACTAGCCAAAAAGTTATTTGTATTGAGAGGAGGGAGGCAAATTGGACTTCTCAGCGAGGGAGAAACAAAAAGGTTGGGCCAGCGGCCCAAAGAGGGAGGTGGAGAAGGAGAAGCCGGCCCAATGAGTGGGCTCAGGGAGGGAGAGAGTAACAGTTGGGCCGAAAAAGGCCCAAAGATAAAGGCAGGGATTTTAATTTATTTTTTCATTTATTTTAATAGGTTAAATGAACTTTGTGGTATTAAAATTAGTTATTGAGCTCCGAAAATTCACGGAAACTTTCAGAGAATAATTTATACCATGTAGAATATTACAAAAATATTCAAATAAGCTGATTGCACCAGGACACCTAGAAGCCGTCTTATAGATATCTTCTTCAGCCATAAATATTTGATTATATCCCGCGTTCCCATCCATAAAACTCAAAATCTTGTTCCCTGACGCAGCATCAACCAGCTGATCGGCTACTGGCATTGGATATTCATCCTTTGGGGTAGCTTTATTCAGATCTCGGAAATCAATGCACACCCTGACCTTGCCGTTTTTCTTAATAACATGAACTATACTAGAAACCCATTCAGCATATCGGCAAGGACGAATAAAACCAGCGTCATATAACCGTTTAATCTCAGCCTTGACAGGTTCAAGCATGTCGGCTTTGCATCTCCTCGGGGGTTGTTGACGTGGCCTAATCCCTGGTTTGATAGGTAGCCGATGCTCAACAATCGATCGGCTGAGTCTAGGCATCTCATAATACTCCCAAGCGAAGCAATCTCTGAATTCTTTCAACAGCTCTATCAACTTGGTTCTAAACTCTGCAGATAAATTCTTACTAATAAATGTCGGCCTTGGTCGATCACCTGGACCTATATCAATTTCTTCCAAATCATCGGCCGACATAAAACCTTGTCCTTGTTTGTCATCGAGATCATCTACCGTGTCCTTGCTGTAGACATCTGAACCCTCCACGACGCCCTCAAAATAATAGCTTGGGTTCTCCATCTTCAATTGGCTGTATATCAGAATCGGACACTTTTAGAAAATCTCCATCCCAAACTTTTCCAGATAAACAATCAAGACCATCCATCTCCCAATTGACTGACCTGTCGGCTGGCACAATCTCAATCTTGTCGCCTTGCCATTGAATCAAGCATTGATGCATGGTTGAAGGAATGCAGCAATTAGCATGAATCCAATCCCTTCCAAGCAACAAGCTATAAGAACCCTTCCCATCAATGACAAAGAATGTTGTAGGGATAGTTTTGTTGCCGACTGTCAGCTCTACATTCAAAACTCCTTTGGTTTCTGATGGATTGCCGCCAAAGTCTTTAAGCACCATGTTTGTCTTGATGAGATCTTCAGCGTTTCTGCCTAACTTCCTAAACGTAGCGTACGGGATCAAGTTCACTGCAGCCCCACCATCGACCATCATCTTGGACATCGGCTTCCCATTGACATACCCATTTATATACAATGGCTTAAGATGCCGATTCTCTGTCCCCTCTGGCTTCTCAAAAACTGCCTGCTCTGGCGACAAAATCAATTTAGCCGATTCTTCTTCAAGTTCATCGATATCGGCTTGCTTGGTCCCAAACTCGGCGGGCAACGTGAAAACCATGTTGACCAAAGCAGTTACGACGCCTTTTCCTTTAGCTAAACTCTTTGCCTCATCAGCTGTGGCTTCATCGGCTACAGGAACCTGATTCTTAACACGCCACTCCTGCCTCGGCTTTGTTTTCTTCAACCGATGGTTCATTTCCTGTTCGACCTCCTGAAAGCGCTCCCTGTTCCTCAATTCTGATTCTTCGTGAAAATACCAGAAGGACACCATTGATTTTTCCTGATTTCATTGTCCTCTTGGCCACGATCTTGATTCACTGGACCCAATCTTTGATAAACAGGAACTCTTGTCTGCCTTAGCCGATTGCCCTTATTATATGATCGACTTGAGCTCTCGGCAATATCACTGCACCCAGGACAGTCTTCAATAGATGGTAGCCTCATACCTTCATTCCAACAGAATCTAAAGAACTCACAACCCCAATGAGAATCAAAGCCATCGTCGTCTTCTTCATAGTGCTTCTCCTGCTGCTTGTCATACTTCCTCTGATATTTGTTGATAATCTTAGCCGAATTCACCTGAAAACCCCTTGCACAGCCCCCATCGGCTGTTCGGCCAGCTGTATGCACCATACTAACAGGAAAAGGATTGCCATCAACCTTCATCAGCCTCTTAGAGTCGTCAAACTTGATTTTGCCTCCTTTAATAGCAGCTTGGATTTGCTGCCTGAAGACCTTGCAATCATTAGTCTTATGAGACCTAGAATTATGCCACTTGCAATACCTTTTCTTGCCCAATTCTTCAGCCGAGGGAATTGTGTGACCGGTAGGAAGTTGAATCTGCTTCTCTCGGAGTAGCAAGTCAAAAATTTTATCAGCCTTGGTTATATCAAAGTCATACCTCTCTTCTTTAACTGAGCTTTTTACCCATTGGCATGGTATAACCTTCTTACTCCTTACCCACTTGGCTGCAGCTATATCAGAATCATCATCCTCATTATCCGATCCATATATATAAGGGCAAACATGATTAACCTTCCTAGAATTTTTCCTAGCCTCTGCATACGTTTGTTCATGCAAGGCTACCTTCTGTGTAAGGTGTGACAAGCTTTCAAAGTCTTCAGATGACAACTTCTCCCTAATTGGAGCAATCATACACCCTGAAAAGCCAAATCGGCTAACTGGGCATCAGTCAAACTCAAGCTGTAACACTTATTTCTCATCTCCCTGAATCTCTGAATATACTCGTGCACTGGCTCATCATGCTTTTGTTTGATCGACGTTAGATCGGATAATTTCATCTCATGAATCCCACTATAGAAATAGCTATGAAACTGCTTTTCTAAATTAGCCCAACTGTTAATTGATCCATATGGTAAAGAAGAAAACCAAGTAAAGGCTGATCCAGCTAAAGACAACCGGAATAACCTAACTCTCAAGGCGTCCACAGCCGA